CCTAATACAAAGTTTTAAAAGGACTCATCTACATAGCTGAGTTTCCTTTAATAATACATCTCTTAGTGCTTTGAACAACTTAATACCCAGAGGGCAGCAATATATATAGCATCAGAATGTAAGCATGATATCTCAGGAATGGGAGTAGAGGAGACTTTACTTTTAGTTTTTTTTTCCTGTATTTTCCAAATTTTGTACAATAAACATTTTCTGATTTTACAATTAAAAAAATTTTTTTTGGTACTGGAAATCGAACTCAGGGCCTTGCCCTTGCCAGGCAGGCCCTCCACTGAAGAGCTACATCCCTGGCCCAATACAAAATTTTAAAGAATCATTTTCAAGTTTTTAATTGCTTAACAAAACTGGAAAGCACAGAAATATAAATGCCAAAAGTAATAATAAGTATTAAAGTTTATAGGTGCTTATTTGTGCCAAGCTCACACACTATTGTGCATTGCTCAGAAAAATAAGGTTAAATTCCCTTTTATAGATATGGAAAATTATGCTTAAAAACAATAAGTAATGTGTCCAATGGGACATAGCTAGTAAGTAGTGGAGTTGAATTTAAACTACGAAGCCAGAATACTTTACTGCTATGTTTTTATGCTTCTAAAGACTGAAGCTTAGGATGAAATGAAGCCACTCTGAATGTATTAGCCAACAGGGAAAACAGATATTGATTAATTCAACAACAACAACCACTACAAAATCCTTGAACCACTTACATGTATCTTTCCATAAATACATCTGTTTCGCAAAATAAGACACACCTGTTTAAGAAGAGTCATACTTGCCTATAACTTTTTGCAACTATTTCTCCATAATTAAGATAAAAAGAGAAAAATACTGACATTTCTTTTTGCACACAATTAAGTGATGGTGAATGAATAAAGGACATTTACAGTCTGGGATTAACAATGAAGTGTGTGAGCTTATAGGACTACAGAGACAGTAGGATTGTCAGCCTCCTGCATGTGCCCTGCATGAAGAAAAGTGGGCATTTGATTGCTCTCCAGTTCCTCTGTCTGAGGCTTCTGCCAAACAGAATCACCCAGGCTGGAGGCGCACTTTGGGGTCTGAATTTTCTATTTCTGCTATCTCTACTCATCAAACAAGCCAGGCGCACAGCTCAGGTGTTTCTTCCATCAATGTCCCAGGCTAAGTTTTGAGATTTGAAACTTGAATTCAGAGAAAGGAGGAAGATTGAAAGAGGGTTACTGGCAAGGAACACACACTGTAGGGAATCTTGGTTTGCATTTTTATTACCGGAGGCTCAGTGACATGGGGCCTGGAGCACAGCTAGACAAGTACTAGCTCTGGAGTACTAGCTCTAACTCTGGTACTTGAATCTCCTAAGGGCATGTGAATGACTAGGCTGTTTCCCAGTCTGGCACCTGAGTTTGCCTTGGAAGGAATCCACTCCCCCTCTGCTGGGACTGTCAGTGAAGACACCTTCCATTTTTTGGCCAAAGTCTAGTTTGTGACCCAAGCAGGCTGCACCCCGATGGCTCTTACCATTTCCTGGCACATGGGTACCCCAAACTGCTTTGGTTTCTGCCCTTTTTCAATTTAGATTTGTGTGTTTATTTGTATGAGCTCCCCAACAGCCTTTGGATTCATCCTTTCTGGGAGTTTCGTTTTTTGTTTAGCCCGTCAGTTTCTGTCACCTAGCTGATGAGTCTCCGCTACATTTCATGTTGCTAGGTTTTTGTTTTATGATGTTCCAGTGATTAAAGGGAAACTAGAAGAAATTGGAAATCATTCTGAGGGAAGTCACAAAAATGATTACAGAGTGATAGATTTGTGGAGCTAATTAAAGAAATATAATTTTGTTTCAAGAAAAGGAAATTTGAGATGAGTTAGAATACCTGTCTCTGGCTGAGTCTGTGCTCTCTCAAATAAGATGGAGAGTTGAAGTCATTAACTTGGAAATTCATGTGAAAATGTTTCCCCTAAGAGATTTTGACACCTGGGACCAATGTGTCATTTAAGAGATAATTTGTATGAAGGTTTGCCCCCAATTCTTTTTTTTAAAATTCACATGTAGACTTAATGAACTTCCTAAAAGAATTGTCTACATTTTTTTTTCTACAAATTTTCAACTCCAAGTCACTCCTTAATTCACTGAGTTCTGGTTTCTGCCTTCTTAGCTGCCATACTCAATAAAAGAAAACATAAACATGAAGGACAGGGTGTCCACTCACCAGCTTGCTGTCTTCTGGGACCTGGTCATGAAGTATGATGATGCCCTCCTCACTGGGCCACCAGGACTAAGAGACATGTATGCTCATAGCCTCCTCAGAGGCTCTTCTCACTTGCATCTTGGTCCAGGAGCCAGGGGATTTGACCCAAAAGATGGGGATGACTCTCAGTGCCAGGCCTTTCTGGTGCATTGTCCATGGTCCCCACAATCCACCTCTCCCCCATGCCCATAGGCCCAGTTCTGAGTAGCTGAGTAGCTGGGATTGTAGATGCATGCCACTATGCCTGGCTCTCTCTTTCTGGGGTATGTGTGTGTGTGTGTGTGTGTGTGTGTGTGTGTGTATGTGTGTCTGCTGGCAAATGAGCCCAAGGCCTTCACATTGAGCTGAGCCCCCAGCCATTTAAAAAAATCTTACTTTGAGACAGGGTCACTCTAAGTTACAAAGTTGCTAAGGTTGGATTTGAACTTGCAATCCTTCTACCTCAGCCTCTCAGAGTGCTGGGATTACATGCGTGCACCACTGCACCAAGCTCTTTCTTCTTAAAACACTTTCTCTCTTTGGCTTCTATTATTTCACAATCTCCCTTTTTTTGGTACCGGGGTTCAAACTTGGAACCTTGCGCTTGCAAGGCAGACAGCAGAACCACTGAGCTAAATCCCCGGCCCATTTCACAATCTCTTGATTCTTCTGGGCTGATTCTTCTCAGAAGCCTTCTTTTAAAGGCTCTTTCCTCTTCCCATCCCTTAAGTATTGGTGCTCCTGTCAGGGTTTTGACTTAGTTTTTCCTTTCATTATACTCCACACAGCTGATGGATTGTTTTATCTACTCCTCTGGCTGCGATTACTACACATTTGCAGATAATTCTTAAATGTGCCTGCCCCCTCCCTGAGTGTCAGATCCTACACATAAGTTCCCTCTGGAATATTCCCTTGGATGTGTCATGGGTACTTCAAAACCAACATTTCCCAAACAGATATAGACATCTGATTCATACTCTTTTGACTCTTTCCTTTCCTTGATTCTCCAAAGCCAATAAGTCTCCAGGACCTGTTGATTCAGCCACCTAAAACATCCATTTCTCTCCAGTTCCATTTCCACATCTGTAGTCTAGAATGCCATTGCCTCTCATGCTTGTGACTGAATCAGGCTTTTGGCTCACTTACTATCCCTACAGATGTTTGCTGTTTTCCTCTGACTCTTTGCTGACATCGAGCGGCCAGTGAACTTTTCAAAGCACAAAGTAATGAAGTGTGGTAGCACACACCTGTAATCCCAGAACTTTGGGAGGCTGAGGCAGGAAGATTGCAAGTTTAAGTCTCACCAGAGCAACATCTATGCTCAAAATCATTTTTTCAGTATAAGTATTAAAGTTTTTACAGCACCTGACAAGGCCCTGTGATCTAGATTCCTGCTCCTTCTCTGACTTCATCTTCTGCTCCTCTCCCTGGCTTACTGAATCCTGTACTGGGCTCTGTGCTATTAGATGACTCTGGCAGGTTCCTCTACCTTCAAATCTTTGCTTTAGCTGTTCCCTCTGCTTGGAATAGGCCTCTCTCATTTCCCTCAAATCTCACCCCCTCACTTTCTCACAATCCTCTCCGATCTTCCTCATTCTTTGATTCTTGATTTTTCTTACTCTGATCAATTTGTATTTTTCAAAAATACCACCTATCCTTTTAAAATTTACTTATTATTCAGTGTATTTCCTGACTCCTTGAAAAATGTATATTCCACAAGAGTAGGGATCTTTGTCTGTTCAGGGATGTAATTTCTTCAAGCCTCTAGAATAGGATTTCTCATTTTTGGTACCCTTGACCTTTGGGCTTCATAGCCCTTTGTAGGGGCTGTTTTGTACAGTGTAGGTTTAGCAGCTTCCATGACCTCTAGCCACTAATTGTCAGTGGCATCCCCTAGTTGTGACAACCAAAAAACTTTTCAGATGTTGGCCCAATGACCCCAGTGGGTGCAAATGTTCCCCAGTTAAGAACAACTGTTGTGGAACAGTGCCTGCCACTAGCAGTTACTCAATAGCTGTTGAGAGAAAGAAAATAAAATGAGCAATTTTTAGGTGCATTTACTCCTCATGTATTCCCCCAGCATCCATAATTTACTATAGTCATCACCAACAACAGCTTTCAACCTAGAAAAAGGGTATGTCTCAAGCATTCATAAGATGCAGCGACCATCTCTGTAGTTGCTTTGTGAAGGACAGCACATGGGAAGAAAGGCAAGACGGTAAGGGGAGTAAAATAAGCTTGGCATCATGATAGAGACACATCGTGAGGCTGCCCTAGAAGGTATTGCTTATGATAGTTATGTGGATTTGCTCAGTAAGATATAGGTCTTGATAACAACTATTCTTCCAAACTGCCTCCATTCCATCTTACAGCTGTCTTTCCTCCTCAACATACCTATGGATCAGTTTGAGGTTTCAACATCTGGGTTTTTTCCCCTGCCAGGAATTACTAACAAAACTAATATATTATTATACTATTCAGAGAGGTTAAATAATTTGTACATCTCAAGAGGCTGCACAGCTGGGATCGAGAATGAGCTTGAATTATAGGTTAATAAATATATTGAATATTACTTTTTTATAACAGCCATAGTATAAGCAATACAATGGCAATCACAAGACTTGTGCAAAAGCCAGTCTCATTAGTTGAAGGCTGTCTGTACCATCTAAGCCCATCACTTCTTTTCTACAATCAGAAAATACACAGTACACCAAATCATAAAAAATAATAATTGAACTCATTATTGATAGTTCTTTGATTTGAGTTCTCTCTCTGTAGGAAAGAACGAGGCTGTTAATGCTATTCAGTGGTGACTCAGTGGCTCATGCATGATGTGAAGGATAAGGAAAACTCACCCTCACCAAGGAATATTTTTCCCAAAGGATGTGTACAAGGGCCCACGTTTCCTTTGAGCTCAAGTATTTATTTGATTGTTTTGTGTTGAAAGGGAAATCATGCACATGCTACAAGATGCAAAAGAAACTAAAAGATCTGGAGCAAAAGGTAAGTCTCACTCCATTCCTGTCTTGTGGCCACCTGGCTTCTCTTTGTGGAAGCTGCTGTGGTCTCCAGCCCCACTATGAACCCCTTTCAGTGCTGTGTGTGAGCAAGCACATAGGTGAATTCAGGGCTTCCACTGGAGAAGGCTTTCCTGTCTCCATAGCACATCTACCCCTTCTCATCTGGTCCTCTCAGCAAACACCCCAAATGCATGAAAGAAATGTGCTGATCAGCAGCACACTCACCCTTCACCCTGTTTATCCTGTGCCCCAAAATGTTTAATGAGGTCTGGCATTTCTCCCACAAGTGGCTCCTCCTTTTCTACCATCTTGGAAGCATCTGAAAACAATGCATTCTATGGACATTTAGTCATAAAACCCAAATAAAATGGGCAAGCACTTGCCAAGGTGGGCTTTTTTTTTTTAAAAAAAGAGTAGTGATCCTTGAATTTCCCTTCACATGCACATTTCTGCCTGCCTTTGCTAGGCTCAGATGCCATCTGCAAGTTGCCATGGTCCGAAGAAGGACCTGTGGGTCTCCCCTGGCAGATGCTGCCACTGTTTTAGCCTGAGGGCCCTGCAGGCAGCCCCTGGCAACATTTTTAATTCAACATCAAACTTCAGCTTGAAATTTTAAAAAGAGAGGGGAAAATGACAAGATGTCAATGTCTCAGAACCTAGCAAGTCGGGCTTGTAAATGTACCTAGCCCTGGTGTCTTGGAGCTGGGGGAGGTTCTTATCCTTCTTGGCTCTGGGAGTGACCCCTAAAAAATTCTGCAAAAGCTCAAAGCGGATGCTACATTTAGAGAGCAGACCTCCAGGTCTGGTGAGTCTTTTAGATAAACAAAAGCCCGTGGAAAGCCAATCAGGGTACATTTTTAGGTCAAAAAGACAGGTTCAAAACAAGGTACATTAAGGGCCTGTTTTTGGGGAACAAAATATATGTGAGAATGCACAACAAATGGTTGGAAGGCTCTACTCCTACAATTTATATTTCTAAGACCACGTAGCATTTAAAATTTTCTTTTTCACTTCTCTCTCCATTGTCTGAATTTTTGCATACTTTTATAACCAGAAAAAATTCTACCTTTTTAAAATTTGAAAATAGAAAATACAATAAAGGTGGGTTCCTATTTCCTTAGCACCTACAGAATCCTAGAATGTAAAATAGCAAGTGCTCAACTGCCCAGGCAGCTGGGCTTAGTGTTTCAATCTCCAGCTATAGCTCAGGGGACCTCGTTCACCTAGCAAAGACGTTGGCACAATGTGGGCATCAGCTCTACAACCACTCCTAACCTCCAGCCATCCTGCTGTTATCATCTCTTCTGACCACCACATCACCTCTAGAAAGTGCATGGAGTCACTATTTCTATTCTTATTTTGCGTATGAAGAAACTGGGACTTAGAAAATTTAAGAGTCAAGTAGTAGGCTTGGACTCTTTAGACTTGTCTTTAGACTTAAGTCCATAGCACATACCACCCCGAGCTTCAAGATGTATGCATCTCTGTGAGGACATCAGGAGACAATCTTGTGAATTCTCAACCACACACAGCTTATTTGGGGTGGTAATGAAAAGATGTCCTCTAGAACCAGAAATGTAAACTTGGAAATCATCGGGGCTGATAGTTGTATTGCTGGATAAAAAGTCTCTCTGTTCATGAATTGTGTGGTCCCATCTGGCCTCCAATGAAGATTTTTGTGGGAATGTAAGGGACTCAAGTTCTGGCAGGGGTTGATTCTTGTTCACTGACCTCGCTCTGGCACCCACACACTTCTCAGATGCTATGTGACTCTCTTTTTATGATGAATGAATGAGTTTGGGTGAGAGATTGAGAGGAGGGGAACCCCTCTTCTCTTCTCCAAGGTCTGGGGCTGGTCTCCCCTTGGCTCACCTCGGATCCCCTTGGCATCTCATCTCCAACCAGATCAACAACCTTTCTGCTGATGAGAACTCAGCAGGGTGGAGAGTAGAAAGGAGGGAAGGAGGGGAGTATAGGAAAAGGAAAAAGGTACGCTAAGAAGAGAGTGAGGGGTAGTAAGATCCAAGAGGTAAGAAAAAAAATCCCTTTGTTTCCCCATCCCCCAGAAAAGGAATGCAATTTCCCCTCGATTCTAGCTGCTCTGAGCACTAGTCATAAAAATTAAAAATGAGGAATAGAGTCCGTTGTTGTCATTTCCAATACAAATGGGCATGTACATTCAGCCTTTATGGCTAGATAACTTCCACTTCCAGTGCTCGGTATTTATTGGCTTGGACTTATTGATAGAACATCCTGGGGCCTGAAGTCCTCCTTCCCACAAAGCAAAGACACCATCAGCAACCTCTTTCTCCTCTCAACCCATGAATAATAATGTGGATGATGATGACAGTGTTATTATTATCATTTGGTATTTAGCCAATGTCTTTCCCCGAAGTACTTAAAGCACTTTATAGGCATTGCCTTATTATTCCTCACAATACCTCCCTGGAGAGAGGGTGAGAACAGAGATTTGTTTTCCATTTCACTGAAAGGAGAAGCTGAGACCCAGAGCAATGAAAGGGCTGCTCCAAGGTCACCTGGAGAAACTGGGCTGAGGTTAGAACAAGAACCGAGGGCTTGTAATGCCTGTATAAGGGCACCTTTGCACTCACCACTAGGGAGAATGAGTCATTCACTAAGTTCTAAGTGTAGCAGGACATTAAAAGGGAAATGTTGGCAGGGCTCATTCTAAAGGGAGGTAGTAGAATAAAATACAAATATTTTCAACATAGAAGGCAGAGAAAACACTTACTTACCTCAAGGGGTATGAAAGAGCCAAGGGTTAGAAATTAGAGGATTTTTTTTTTTTTGAGACAAGGTCTTTCTGTGTAGCCCAAGCTGACCTATAACTTGTGATCTTTCTGCCTCAGCCTCCCAAGTACTGCATTGTGATTACAGATGTGTGCTACCACACCCAATTGGAAATTTTAGAAGATACTTAAGAGGATTCTTCACCCCCATGGGAGGGGCGGGGCTGCACTTTATCTCAAATGAGAGGAAAATGACTTCAAGAAATCCCTCAAAGTGTTTAAAACAAGTCCTTTGTTGTTTGTGGTATGCAGTCAGGAGTGAGCAGTGACCGAGGAATCTAAGGAGCAAGAGGGAGGTTAATGGGAATGACTTCTAGCCCCTGAATGTTGGCCGAGACATGGGAAATGATTGTTCTCTTATTGCTTAACAGAGCAGACTGTGTTCAAAGTGACCAGATGTGGATCGTGTGCAAAAGAAAGCCAGTGTGGGGCCATCTTGGACTTTGCCTGAGAGGACCACCCTAGGAAGCAAGAGAAAGAAGAAAGAAACTGGAAGTGGAATCCACAATACCCAGGGACTCTGGGTGCAGCCATGAGCAATCAGCCAAAATAGGAATGCATTTGCTCATGTCGGGGAAATGGAAGGGAGCAGTCTACATTACTGGGGGTCTCCAAAGAACACCAGGAAAACCCCTCAAGAGAAAGTCAGCTTTGCCTTCCACCCAGTGCAGGGAGGACTGCTCACTACCTATCACAGGGACTGAGAACTTTACTGCTTCCTGTTACCTTTCCTCCAGCCCTGCACCTAGACCCTAAGGAGTAGGAATAAGTGGATAATTAGAAGGACTGAAAGCCGCCTAGAACATCTCATTCCCCAACTCCAGGTCTAAGGAGAGGAGGGGAAGACAATGCTAAGTCACGTTAAACATGGTTATTATTACATGGTGATTGGGCATCTTAATTTTCAAATTGAGATCATAGTTTGTCAATTAAAATGAGTAAGTTTCCTAAAAGGAAACAGAAAAGCCATAGGGCCTGCCTACGTTCATCCAGTGGCAGAGAAATTCTCCCCCCAGGACAGATTTTAGAGAAGGCATAAATTAAATTGTACATTGTTTGAGATGTATTTGTTCAAACAGATGGATAGTAAGTTCTAAGGGGTCAGGGCTTATGCCAAGAAACGCTGAACTATTGTATGCCCATGTTGCTCACCATCATTTCCACCCAATTTTGTCCAGCATCATAATATAGTAGCAGCTACTGTTTTGAAGCAGTGACTGTGTTAGGCACTGACAAGACACTTTGTGTGTATCATCTCATTTAATATTCTGTTACCTGATGAAATAATTTCCTTCCATTCTCTAGACGAAGAAACGTAGATACAGAGGTTTTTCTAGCTCCAACGCTTTGCTTCTAAGCCATCCTGTGTGTCCCTCTTTCAGAATCAGATGAGCTGTTCTGGGTCCCTTCAGTGCCCAGTGCTCCTTCCAGCCGCAGAGGCACACAGGTCGGTAACCTGTCTTTCCTCTGCATGTGGATCTCACAGAGTCTGAACTCAGCCCAAATTAGATCCCGTGAGCTCAGCATAGTGCCTTGGTACACAGCTGACACTCGATAGGTTGCTACTGCTGATAGCAATAACACATAGACACTCACTTAGACAAATGTGTGGGCTTTGAGGTTAAACCTTGACTACCTAACTCGCTACTTACTAGCTGTGTGGTCTTGAATAAATTACTGTACTCTCTTTGAATCTCAGTTTTCTTCTGGGAAATGGGTTGATAATGGCTCTGCGAGAGTGCGTTTGGGAGGAATAAATAGCCAGGCTGTCACTTTGTATGCCTACGATGTTGCTCTTTGTCGAATGTTGGTTGCTCTTTTTTGTTCCTCATTCACACAGGAAAAGCTGCATCTTTTCAATCATCTCAGAGCTTCCATAAGGGCAAAGGTCAGGTCTTACACCCTGTACAAGTGCAGGGCAGACAGTTCTAGTTGTATGGACACTAGCAACTGACATCGTCTTTGTCATGGAAGCCCTGCAGGGGCATTCTAGAGAAGTGAAGGCAGAACACATGGCTAGGTGCTTAATTAAGATGTTGAGTGATTCAAAAAATGTATATTCTGAGCCAGTGCATATTTCTTTTTCTTTCTTTTTTTCCCCCATTAACTTTATTGGTACATTTTAGGTATACGATACAGTTACATTCATCATTGGGATCTTGTACCATTACATGAGTCTCTTGGTTCTTATTTTTATTCCCCTTTCCTTGCCCTCCCTTCACCCCATCCACCCTTCCCTATTTGGAAAGACCTTGTTTCCAGTTTTTTCCTCTTCTCATATTTTTTCCTTTCCCTTTTCTCCCTTCCCCTACCCCTCCCAATTCCCCTGCTCTTTTAGACCTTTTCTTTCTGTTACACAATATCAATTATACATTTTTAAAATTACAGTATTAAGATCTAGGAGACATTACCACAGATTTTACAGAATTTAAAAGGATATAGAAAGCATA